CAAAGCTCAATATGTTCTGATCCACCTTCTGATGTCATGTAGGGCTCATTTTCACCTTTTACGTTTTGTTCAGTAGGGACAGATGATTCCAGGCCTGAAATAATCCAAATGAAGGTGTACAGAGTTTAAAAACACAATGGAGCACTTCCTGTATTACCACACAACATCACAAGGTGTATGTGAGTGTTTTTGGTCTGAGAGAAGAACTCAGCCTAAATATGCAGGGTTTGTGTGTTAGACGTGTGAATGAAACTAAACACAACTCCAAGTATGTTTTTGATAACGAAACAACTTTAATCATCAACAAAAAAATACAGTGTTATGGGCCCTTTAAGAGTTGTTCACGTGTTTTAAAACCATCTCGTATCCTCCCAGCCTCAGAGCAAGCAGCCTGTTTGTTCTCAGCTCCATGTTGCAGACGTAATAACTATTTGATGTTTAGCTGCAAGTTGACCATTTGTTTGGCGTCACTCACACTCCAAAACTGACCCCCTCCCCTTGAACATGACTCCAAACAGCACTTGTACATAAATACAGAAGGGAACAGTGTGATGCAGATCTGCAGCTGGCCCCTGTCCCTCCCACGTCCCACAGTCCAGATGCCAGCAGCATTTACAGTAAGAGATGTTATGACACGGGGGGTCAATGGGGAATGGTCCAGAGGAGGAGGGAGCAGTAAAACTCATATTAACCCCGTGGTGTCCGCTCAGAGATGTCTGCTCTGGCCCAGCTGTGAATGTGGCTGCAAAAAGGCCCATTTCCGCTGACTGATCTGGAGGTGTGAGTGCTTTGGTGTGTGTGATCAGATCAGAGAGAGAGGCAGGGGGTAAACAAGGGTTTCCTCTTAAAGTAATGACATTCTCTGGTGGTGATGACTGCACAAAATCACAAGGTAAAGCACATTTCATTGTCCATGTATATTTAACCTCTGCATTTGACCCATCCTTCAAAGCCACTGGAACAACCTGTTAAGAACAGTGGGCGCCAGAACGTTTAGAACTATTAATCTTTTTTTCCTGTATGTCTATGACTGAGTGTTATCATGGTGACACAATGCACACATTAGCTTTAAGTTTTAAAGTTTTAAGATTGTCTGAAGACTCAAGTTAAAAATACAAAATGTGTTTAAACAACACATTTTCTGGAACTTGTGATCAATACAAATGTTCATGGTTCTGTTTAGGTGTTTGATGTTCAACAAAAAACACGAGTGTGACTAACTGAAAAAACTGTTGGCTAATGCAAGAGAGCTTGTGACTGTAATGTTATTTGAGAGACTTGCTCAACAGCACAATCAGCTCACCTTTTGTAGTTTCAGGTAAATCAGTTCTTTATGGTCAAATAAACCCTTTTCACAATGTCCGGAAGTGTCACAATGTAGGGTAAATGTCACTTATGTTAATGCTTTTCCGTGGCAAAATATCTGTGGAAATGTTTCACATATTTTCCACCAGCTTCATGAATCTGCCCCATTACCAAATCTTCTGTCTATGAAGAATTTATCCACAACTATCACAGTAAGAAAAACAAAAACGTAAAGGCGAAGAATGACTCGCATTAGTGAACTACTCCTGAGCAAATCTAACATTATGGACTAATGCTAGTTGTCGTTCGCCGTTTTTGTCTTTCTTACCTTGATAGTTATGGATAAATTCTTCATGGACAGAATATGTCCTTTGTCGACCTTGTTGGATGAAGATTTGGGCAGATTTATGAAGCTGGTGGAAAATATGAAACATTTCCACAGATATTTTGCCATAGAAAAGCATTAACGAAACGCATTAACTACATCGTGACACTTCCGGTCATTGTGAAAAAGGTCTATGGTGTTAAAATAATAGATTAAAGTCTAACTTGAGCTTCTGACAGAGCAGTACCTACAGTTAGCATCACAACCCCAGGGAATGTTGATGGCATCACCTGCAAAGTATCAATAGGCTTGGTCAGGAGTACCTTAGCTGGATTATTACACCTACGGTTCATGTTTTGGGTTGATGGGGGAAAAAGGAGAAAGCCCACCCAAACAAACATGCAACCTGCATACAAAGAAGCCCGGGAATCAAACCAGGAACCTTCTTGCAGTGAGGCATGAGTTCTATAGAGAGGTAAACATGAGGGCTACGAGAGTTAAGCATTGGGAAAGGATGGGGGACAGTTTTATCATTACTGGTGGGAAAACACAACTGGATGGCTTCATGTCAGGACGTGTTTTGTTGTGTTGTCATGGTGACCTGTCAATCAGGATGCTACACATGTCACGGCAAATTTTCACGTTGCTGATGAATGTTGGGCACCGCTTCCTCCTCTGACAGGACTCTGCGCAAAGGCACCAGATAAGACACTTTTGTTTTGGTTTGTTTCTTCCGAGCTGTTTCCCATTTCTGCTGTGAATACTGTGGCATGTTTACATCCAGGAGAATTCCTTTCACTAATTTCACTATTGTACTCTTTCTGGTGTCATTATTTCAGTGTGTGGTGGGCAGTTGTTATGACATATGTGTTGTCAGGTTGAAGTGGAAAAAAGCAATAGTGACTCATGTAAACACATACAAATCAACACTCGGGGTGGTACAAATGGATGTTTTGCTGCTGATGAATTTCCCTTTAAGTTTGTTTGATGAAAACAGCAGGACAATATCACATGACAAAACAGATCCAGGAATTATGAGCAGTAGGTAAATAAGTAAATTAGTAGAGAAAAAAAGGGGATGAATGCAATTTTAAGCCTTGGGCAGTTTACATAACAGATAATAGTCAGTTTGTCGTAGTAATGCAGACTTTACTCATAGAATTATGGGTAATCAGATCCAGTCATTTGATTTCCAGAATCCAACAATTAGAGATGGAAGATATTGGCAAAAATGTGTATCTTGATTTATCTTGATTGCATGATAACAATATTCAGACAGCATTTCAACAACACGTCAGGAATGTGCTAAAATGTAAATGTACTTGGTTGATTTGGTTGAGGTTCAAGTCTAGCACAAAACATGTATGGACCATAAAATTAACCACAAGATTATAGAAATATCAGATTTTTTTCTCTCTTTTTGAGATAATTGCTAAAGGGCCCATATTACACTGTTTTCTGCACTATGTTATAATGTTGTTTCCTCATCAAAAACATGCCTGAAGTTGTGTTTTGGTTCGTTCACACATGCTTAACGCACAAACCCTGCATATTTAGGCTGAGTTCTGTTCTCAAATGGAAACCTTGTGATGTCATGTAGATGTACATACAGGACGTGCTCCACTGTATTTTTAAACTTTATACACCTTCACTAGATTCATTTGGATAATTTCATCCCATGCCAGTCTATACTGAAATAAAAGTAAAAAGTAGCTGTTAACTTGAGAACATGGCATCACAAGGTGGAGCATTTTGAGATGTATACAGAGTAATAATAAAGGGTTTCTCAAACGTGTGAATGAAACTAAATACAACTCCAGGTATGCTTTTCAGGAGGTAATAGCATTATATCATGTCTTAAAGCTCACAAGAGTCAATAGTACACAAATACTATAGGACCTCATTTGAGATATCTCTAAAACAGAAATGGTAATATTGTCTATTTTTTTATGTAGCTATAACCTCTGCCTTTATATTAACTAAAAGACACAAGACAAAAGCTAAAAGAATGTATGAAAAGAACCACCATTTGTACTGTATTAGCTCTAAGTCTCTAAAGTTCATCTAAGTGCAGTAGAACCCATTGCACTGTGACTGCTGTTGACTCTCTGATCACACGTCAAACATTGTAACAGGCCCAAACCTTTGTCAACACAAGTAGCATTCAACAAAGCATTCAACATCCATTTCTACATACTTTGCAGCTAATGTCATCAACATTCCCTGGAGATGTGACGCTAACTGTAGACACTGCTCTGTCTGAGGCTTTATTAGACTTTAATCTGAGCTTTATTTTAACACAATCTGACAAGAAAGAACTGACTTAGCTGGAACTACAGCAGGTGAACTGATTTTTAGTGTTAAACATGTTTCCACTATATACATGTAGAACACCCCCCTGCATGTGTCTGCAACATATTAATATTCAACTATATTTGTTTGTCCAGTTATTTTAGTTTAACTTGCTGATAATACTACATTTGGTTTAATAACACAGTATTTTATGCATGCACTATTTGATCATAGTTCATATATTATATACATATCATACATATTTTCCTGTTATTATTATTCCTAGTTTTTATGTTTGTTTTTTTTTCTTGGATTTTAATAAGTACAATTTTCATCTTAATTTCATGTGCATAAATCAGATAGTCAAATTCATCTCTCTAAAGTCTAAACTCTGCTCTAAACAACAGAATTGGCACAGCCCTGTAATTGAGAACTTGAAATTTCTATGAAATGATCTATATTTGATTAAAATACTATTAATTTCACAGCCATCTCTAGTAGTATAAACATAAACAGAACAGGTATTTGTACTATAACACCAAGCGGTTACCTAATCTCTTGAATAACATGCTGGTATGATATTGGTGCCTTCTGACGGCAGTAAAAACATAGAAAGGGCTGCTGGACTTAGAGTTAAGCCGATGTTTTGTTCCTTGACCTAAAATGCACCGTTCAAGTGTTTTTGTCTTTCCCCGCATACCAAGCATATCAGCGTATAGAGAGAAACAGCACTGTCATGGTGCACTAATAACCCATGTGTTCATAACATCAGCACGAGGCCCAGACTGAAAAACACCAGCCTTGACCCCAATGTGGTCCCACCTCTCTGCATCAGCCACTGTTGTCTTTTCCTTATGTAACGTTATCATTGGCCTCCCCTGGACATAGAGTGAAAATAAGCAACAGAAAGTCCAAATCCAGTCGTGCCTCACTGGCTTTATTTTGTAATACGCCAATATCATTGCAGTGCAAACACAGTATAAAATATCGTCTTTAACAAAATGTACATTCACATAAACATCTCCATAAATACATCTCCAACAAAAGACAAAGATCTGGTCATTCATAATATAGCTCTGAAAAAGACAGTAATAGCTAGTAATACCTACATATAACAATTGAAACCCGTATTATACAGTAAGAAAATATTAAATTTACAGGAAAAATATTGTACATAACCCTTTCCATCAATGTTACTGACTGTTAAAGCAAGTGTATAAAAATCCTCATTTAAACCTCTTGGAAACTCAAAGAAAGCGCTTAAGCTATTGTGACTACACAATATTTAAATTACAAGTTCATTTCATCAGGCCTCCAAATAAATATATCCAAAATCAACACTTGCCATTGTTTTTGTTATAAAACCAGCAAGGATCTTAAACATCTTAAAACATCAAAATACAGGCATCCAAAAAAAGAAAATCCACAACAGTTGTAGCCACACGTTCAGTAGTGCTACAGCTCAACACGATCAACTTGATATGTTTATGAAAATAGGTTGGCACATTTGAAAACCAGCTACCTGTTGACCCCAACAGGAAGAAAGGGAGAGGAGAAGTCCCACCCCTTGCCTGATGTCAATCTGTCCTGAAATGTCCTCAAAACACACCAAGCTCATGGAGAAGACACAGTCAAAAAGCACCTGACATTCAAGGAGGACTGCTACCTTGAGCGCATGCATGAGAACTACATGAAGAAGAGCCACCCTGCTGCTTGGGCTGTGTCTGTCTCATCAAAGCATGCATGTAAGAGCCATGTAGTGTAATGTAAGGCTCAGACCACGCACGCTCTACAGATTAGAGGAGAGCTGAGGCTGTGGTTAGCCCCGCTGTAAGTAGCATGCTCACTGCAAAGTCAATCTTCTGGGTTGTTTGAGGAAGTCAGATACAGAGGTTTGGGTGTCTCCTCATAAACAGCAGTTTTCTTTTGTACCAAAGCAGCTTTTAGAAGTGTTCATAAAAATAGTAGATAACAGAATATCTTAACCATAGAAAATATTCTTAATAATAAACAAGCACGCTGAAAATGTCTTTTAAAATATAACATCAGAAGGAAGGAATCACTCAATCACACAATACAGAAAATTAAGGTTTAAGTCATGCTTCAGATCCATAGAGATACAGATTGTGTGGCTAGCTATGCACACTCTATTGGCTACATACACTATCAGGTCAAAATAGGGTCCAGCTGGCTACAGCATGCAAGTGGGGAACAGGCTGAAGAGACAAACCAAGTTATTGCTACACTTTGACAAGGAAGAATCTGGAAGTCAAGCATCACAGGGAAACAGACAGCAAACATGAGCGTAATGCAGCAGTGGCATCATGCACTTAAAAACACTGAGCCCAGGCCCAGGGAGTCCTAGTTCACCTCATGTGCCATTTGAGGGTAAAGGTAAAGGGGCTTGTGCCACAAAGAAACCACGTCACCGAACCGGCAATGACAAAGGCAATGCCCTCCTGTGTCTGGCAAGTTTTACTACTAACCGCCATGTATGCAAGCATTTGGCTTCATCCCCTTAAATGAATGTTACATCTGATGACAAAGCTCCAGTAACTACTTCAACTGTGCTAATTGGTCTTCAGTTAATCGATAAAGAACCTGAAAGGCAACATAAAATGGCATTTTGAGGAGTGGTTGCTAAGGCAACAACACTGATTTGGTTTAATACTGAGAGAAAGGGTAGGTTAAAGTGATTAAAGGACTTTCCATTAGTGGAGGCTTGTTGTGCTACACAATCGATTGTGCATTGTTTAGAGATTTTAGCCTGTTAAAGTGGTGGATACAGTTTGAATTCCTGGAGATGTCCTTGGCCTTTGATTGGTTACAGAGCAACGTGGCTAGAGCATCCTGTATCCTGTCCACGGCACCCTGCAGAGTAAAGCAACACACAGGGCTCAGGTGAGAGGGGCTAGGCCTCCTCCAATGCCCATGGTCAGTCCTGCATGAAACTAGGGCCCAATACTGGCTTCCTATTGGACGAGGAGTGTCTGTGTGTAGCAGAAAGCAGGTGAAGCTTTCTCATCCATAGTCTTTATGCACATGTCCCTCAGACCATGGCCACAGGGACAGAGGGCAGGTACCTGGTGGTGCTGGTGGAGGCGGTGGGTTTGGTGGTCCCGGGACTGGCTGTCCTCATGGTGGCGTATGTGGTGACCGTGGGGGCAGGGCTTAGCCTGGTGCACACACTGCCATGGCTGAAGGCGCTGGATCTCCGTTCCGAGTTTGTTTGTTGGTGTTGTGAATGAGCTGGCCTGCTGCCCGGCCTCCGCCCTTTCAGGAAGTACGTGAGCATCTGACCTTTGCCCTTTACACTGACCTGACCCCTGCACTCGAAATCGTAGAAGTCTGTGATGAGACGATAGACATCCTCGGTCACCTAGGATGCATACATATGTTTGTTTCTCAAGGTCACAGGACTTTATTTAAAAACTACATGAAGAAGAGCCACCATGCAAAATTACAATTCACAGAACATTTCTCTTGAAATAAGAGCAGTTGCCACATTTAGAAATTTCCCAAATGTTTTGGGCAATTGACTTAATAATAAATAAATCATATATTAATGAATAATTAATAATTAATAATTTTAGGATGAATAAAAAAATAAATAAAACACTGCATGGCAAGATTAGCGCTGTTCATCATGCTCATTCATAAAATGAATTGTCTATAAATAAACCAAGAGCCCAGATTAGCACACCTGTATCTTTCCTTGTACTCCAGTGCTGTCCATCCGACTGGCAACGTTCACCGTGTTTCCCCAGATGTCATACTGAGGTCTCCTGGCTCCTATCACCCCGGCAACCACTGGACCCACATTGATACCTAAAGAACAATTGCAGAATTTAATTATGATGATAAATGAACCATCTATGCACAGCTACCTTACCAGCCTGTCGCAGTGTTATCTGAATCTTTATTGCCACCAGTGAATGAATATTAGAGTGGACTGCGTCAGCCTTACCTCTTCCCATCCTGGGTGTACCCTGCCTAAAGCATTACTTTGTTCAGCTCTAGTTACTGGTGTAAACCTAGTGGTAGAATAATAATCAATCATTCAAAAACTTTTGTTTTTGTTTGTGAAGTCGGTTGGGTATATGGTTTGTGATTATTTACATTTTTAAATATTACTGTGTCACTTTTCTGCCACCTGTTTGTCCCCATGGAGATGTTATTGCATTGCATCATATATATGGCATTAAAAGCAGAAGACACCACCAGGTCAAGTTACAAGTTAGATCTATGAAGTGTTGACCCCACTTAAAGTAAGAATTTACATTTTTAAGGTATTAAGGTATTTTCTTTGCACTATATACACCTATAATTGAATACATGCAAGACAAATAAGTCTAATGCCATACTGTGGAACATTCGTAGGCAGGCTATACAAAAACATTCCATGGAGACAAGAGGGTGGCAACCCCAAACCAGAAAAGTTAGTGTTTTAAATGTTTTAAATTTGAGTGTGTTTAAAGTCCTTGTGTTTTTTAGTATAAAACATATATCTCCTTGATGGCTACAGGAGCCAAAATCCATTAGCATGCTGCTTTATACAGTATATCTGTACTGGAGTTAATTGGTCAATTGTATGAAAAAAAATATGTGCAGGCCCTTTTTATCTTGCTTATTATGCATATTGTGTCCATTCATGCAACAACAGCAGTGATCCCCACCAGAGAAGTTGTACTGTTTTTAATGTTTTAAATTTGAGTGGCTTTAAAATCCTAATGTTTTAGAGTAGTAAAAGGTAGAGCTCCATTGCAGTTACAGGAATCTAATAAAAGCTGAGGAAAAGTGTCTTTAAATAAACAGAGCCCGTGGAGAGAGTGGAGACAGGATGGCACTGTGTACACCAGGCTCTGTTGTGACTGTGCAGGGTTCTCCAGTCACAGGCTCCCCACAGGAAGCCCACACAATGGAGCCCAGAGCCAGGGGTCTGCTGTGACGAGCTTCCTGCATGCTCTGCTCTTTTTCTGATGCACTTCCTTCAAACTTACTGGCATTGTGCAGCAATAGGCACCAGGGCAACGGGGTACCTATATTAACCTATAAACCACTGTGAGCATTAACGGTCGCCATGGTTTTTTAGTTCAGTAATTAATGTATATGTATCTATATAATGTAATAGAAAGACATTTGAGGTCCTAGCTGTTGTTGCATGAATGGAGACATTATGCATATGAAGCAAGATAAAAATGGCCTGCACACATTTTTTTTTCATGCAATTAACTCCAGTACAACGATACTGTAAAAGCTCTTAAGGTGAAAATGAGACAAATGGCTTTGCCTCTCCACTCTCTGCATCTTTTTCTAGAGTGTTTTACTCTCTGCAAAACAGAAAGTGTGCAATTAGCATGCTAATGTTTGTTTGCTCTATCGTGACAATAAACTCCACTCACATGCTTCTCAAAGTTGTGAAAAATCATTATAAATTCATTGTAGGAGATAATTAGGATGCTTAAAATGCAGGATGCTCAAAAAAGTTTAAAATTAAATGTTTTCACTTTTTAAAAACAGTACAAATCAGATAAAGCACCTTTAAGTATCAATCAGAATAAGGAAAAAAAAATATTGTTAATTCACTGTGGAAGTAACTGGGGGTAGGAATTTGTAAATTTTTCTTCTTCCCACTCCTGTTTGAGCTAAAATGGAAACGTGGTGGATGTTTGCTAATGTATTGTTGCATCTGAGTCACAGGTTGGTGGTGCGATTCCGGCTCCCACCGTTGAATGCAGTTGTTGTGTCCTTAGGCAAGACACATAACCCACCTTGGCCCCAGTGTCTGAGTACACTGGTGTGTAAGTGTGTGTGTAAAAGGGTGAGTGGTTCCTTGATGTTAAGCGCTTTGACTGTCTGAAAGAGGAAAAGGGTTGTATAAAAATTTGTCCATTTACCATTTATGTGGAAGTGTGTGTATAGATGGACCATACAAATTGAATCATATTTATCTGTTACTTTCATTTTACCATATAAACATAAATAAAGTATACTCTGTCATAACCTCAATTAATAAAGATGAATGAATCCTGTGCTTTCACTCACCCACTCTCAGCACGAAGTCATTATAGGACTGGTAGTTGATGGCATCCAGCACATCAAACATCTCAATGGCAAAATCAGACACTGTGCATAAATGGGAGGTGATGGACTTCTTAGCCTGTAATTAACATAAACATCACCCAAAAATAAGGTTCAGACTTATAGAAATAATAAGATTAATATAATATAAATGTAATGATACACTACCACTGAAATGTTTGGACACACCATTTCATTCAGTGTTTTCTTTTTTTTCTAAATGTTTACTACTTTCTACATTTTATATACATACAGAAGACAGTGAGTATATGAAGTAAGATATATGGAATTACGTAGCAAAGCAAAATAAAAAATAAAAATAAACTAAAGTATTTTTAATATTTTACATTCAAAAGCAGTAGTTTTCAAGTGAACAGTTACGTTTTAGCTTTGGTTCAGTAGAAATGGGGAATTCCAGGTCTGAAATTATCTAAATGATTCTAGTGAAGGTGTTTGGAGTTTAAACACACAGGGGTGCACTTCATCACACTATGTCAAAAAGAGGAACAGAGTGATTTCTGTTTAAAAAAGGAACCCAGCATAAAAATGCATGGTTCATGGCTAAACATGTATGTATGAAACGAAACAAAACACAACTCCAGGTATGCTTTGGATGAGTAAACAACATGATAACATAGATCAGAAAATAGCATAATACAGGCCCTTTAAAAATGTCATCATGCACAAACACTATTCACTAAGCACATTCTGGATGCTGATCATTTGCTGGATGTTGATGTGTTGCATACATACACATGCACATGCACACACGCACACATGCACACACGCATACGCACACGCACGCACACAGACATACAGACACACACACTCTCACGCATAGATAGATACACACACTCACACAACACTAAATGTAGTCACTGTGTGTACCTTGGAGGCAGTTGTAGGAACCAGCCCTACTGCAGCCATATAAGTACTGCCAATGGTTTTGATTTTCTCAATGTCTCTGTAGCACTCCTTATCCATGAGCTAGAAAGAGAACAGAAAGTACAAGCACATAACCAAAACTCCATGTGTTCTGTAGCTCAAACCATCACAGTGACCTGCACACTGGCACTGCTTCTGGACCATTTAAATGGTTTTGCAGCCCCTATGTTCAGTGTTTAATTGTTAACTACTGCAGTGTTTCCTATGTGAGCACTTGTCAGGGGGTACTTGGAATGATTTCAGATTTAAAAGAAGAATGGAACTGAATGGTATTTGAATATAGGATCTTCTTCTGTGTAGTGTATTTTACATTCTTAAGAATAATTCAGCAGGATAATTTTGGCATAAATTTGATTAAAAACAAGAAAACATAGTTGTAATAATTAGCAATGTACTTGTAAACGGTACCGTTAATAGGGGTAACTCAGAGTGTGAGATGATGCTTAGGGGGGTACTCAAGAAAAAAAGGGTTGGGAACCAATGGATGTATTTCCCAAGAAAGTATTTGACATAGCCATCCTGAATTATTCTTTTTCAGGTACTTCAACGTGAGTAGATAAGTACATAATTGTGCATGTTGTTTGTTGTAAAACGCAATATTTATCTAAGATTTGACAGAAATTGACTTCCAGCGACTTCCAGTTTAAACCTGCAGAGGTGATAGGCCCCACCTTTTCAGTGGGAAATTCTCTGTAGCCATCATTAGATATTCATTCATGTGAAAATGCAACTTTTCTGAGCACTCAACCCTCAAACGCAGGATGATACAGGAATCCTCAAACATGAATAATTCAAAAGATTAAAGCTAATAATGCAGAAACACTGTTATAACATGGTTCAAAGCTCATAAAAGTCTATTTGCATGGCTACGATCTCAACTCAGCTGTTACAACTTGTACAAAGGGTGGGATCAGAACTCTGTAGGGTCTCCCAATGTTCTGAGGTTGGTCTAAATGTGCTTTATAAAATTGACACTGACAATTAAATATACGATTTTAGTCAATGAGTGTGTTGTAACCACATCTAGTTTACAGAAGTTATATTTCGGGAAACAAGAACAAAAAAAGAGAAATGATTTTTGCGTTAGCTTGTTCGCATAAATGACTGCTTGCCGTTGCTGATTATAGATTGATCCAGCCCAAAAGTCATCTGTAAGTAATTCCTCATTGCAACGAACTTTCCCAACCGCGACCGTAGCTTATTATTATGCGTCAATAAACACAGTGTTGAGTCATGCCTATGGTTTTATCTTCATCATCTTCAGATTTATGTTTCCTAAAGACCCACTAAGTACCCACCTCATCGAAGTCGGCGATGATCTCATTGAGGAGCCTCAGACACTCCACTCCCATGTTGTTCCCATCAAGCTCAATGTAGAAGTCATTAAAGTTTGCAATGGAGGCGAATAGGACTCCAACCTGGGCATATGACTGGTAGTACAGGTCCTGTGTCACAGTGAGGAGACAGCAGATATCAGAGGGAATATTCATTGGGTTTCAGCATTTTGATCTTGACATTTATCCATATTAAAGATATTATATTTTACTGTTACTATTGATATAAGATACAAGTTATGTTTTGTTCAATAGTGTGAAATTGCAGTAAAATTAATCGTAATCAAATCAAAGTTGCAATTTAAATGAACACAATTAATACATGGCAAAGGCTGCAATTTTACAAGTACCATAATTTTCTGCACAAACAACTAAATATTATGTCTTATTCTGCATAAAAACTGTTAACCCTGTAGTAATCTGTACAGATGTTCTGAAAAATGATTCTTGTATTAGTTTGTCAGTTCATTCAGTTCAGTCTCTTTGTCAAGGCTCCTGGACATATTCAAAATGTAACCTTTGAACAGAATCATATTATTAAAATAGAAATCACAAACATGTTGCCAATCGTGATGTGTCTCTGAAAAATTACAAGTAGAGTTTTTCCCCAAATTGCTGAAGTCCTGCTTGAAACAAAACAGTTCAGCAAATTTAATAATCGCAATGGCAGTGCTCCTATTTTATCAATCTGAACCCCATAAATAGGTTACATAATTTATTTTTGCTATTTGATGAGTGAGAAGATTATTCCAAAAAAAGAGGTATAATTAATTCGTGAATCATAAACCTGCTCTCATAGCACAGGGATTACCTGAGATGGTATGTAGTCATTTCTTAAAGGTTGTATGGAGGATTTTTTTTTTGTTTCAAATTGTCAATGATAGCATTATAGAGGTGCAGTAGCCTTGTAATTATGATGACCAAAAAAAAGAGAATAAAAATTCATCAACTCTGGACGTGGTGGGGCTAAACATTTGCCAATAGATAATGACACTGCCTCGTTATCTGTTAGCTGACAGGCTGTCAATCAAACTCCCTACGTTTCTAGCGTAACTGACTTGCCTGCGCACCGCCGGTACGTGGTTTACGTACGCCTGTCATGCAGTCCACAGACGTAAGCCACACAGACGCTGTTTACTCCACCAACGCAACAGTTCTTAGTGGCTTTTTTTGACCTATATCTTCCTCGCAGTTAGCACAAAGTTTGTTGCAATGGCAGACAAGAATCCAGGAGCAGTTAGCCGCAAAAGAAAGTCCATTTTTGAGATTGCTGAAAGCAGAAGACAAGGGGAAAAGCAGCAAAGCCAAACTAAGGTGATTCTTATAGATTCATTCCAGCGATGGCGCGACTGAAGCAGACGCAGGGTCTTAAGACTGACGCATTGGTACTCCTGGACAGGTCACTTCTGCTTATTATGAAAATGTACTTTATTTCCGAGAGCTAGTCAAACGTTTTTCAGGACACGAAAGCGATATCCTATGTCTGAAAACGTAATTTTCAAGGCAAAGAAAGAGTCCGCTTGCTGCTGCGTGTTGTAGCTAGTTCATTCGCACTGAATCTCCGCGCAACCTTCTCTGCACCCCTTCCTGCTCCTCTCCCCGCTGCCCATTCCACTCTTCCCCCTGCTCCTCACTTCTCCGGGCACGGAATCTCCGCGCACCGTTCCCCTCTCCTCTCTCTGCTCCCTGCTCCGCTCTTCTCCCTGCTCCTCACTTCTCGTCCGCGCACGAAATGTCCGCGCACCCGCTCCCCCGCTCCTCACTTCTCCGCCTTGCCTAACCAACACTGTAGTTAGTTGTTTACAAGTCATGTGCAGCGCACCGGCTGTAAACAAACCTGTTTCTGGCGTAAGGAGGAGGCGGGAGGAGGCGTTTCTACGTAGGGAGCTGTGGGGGAGGGGGGGTGGTTTCACGCATGCGCAACATTTGAAAAAGGACAAACAGTCGCTGGATTTCTCGTTCCTTGGAAAATCCTCTATACAACCTTTAAAATTGCACTATGTAACTGGTGGAGGGCCCATCATATTTTTTTTTTACCTGTACTACACCTCAGTTTTACATTATGTACATCTTTAGAATGTTGTGAAGTCAAGTGAATGCATCCTACGGCAAAATGCTAATCTCTTAATCCAACGTGGCCAAAAATCATTAATCAAATGTCAAGATTTGTTAACACATAGATCTGTGACTAGTTTGAAGAGTGCTCATTCATGTAAAAGATAAGATGGTTTCACATAAATTTTTTATTGTTTGATTGGTTGTCTGAGCCCTAGATTAAAGCTCATTTTAAGAGGTGGAATTCCTAGAAAGTCTTTCACAATTCTGCAAAATGTAAATGAAATATGACCTTTGAGTCTTCCAAGAAGAACTATTGAGAAAACCCCAGTTGTATTGTAAAAACAAAAATGAGCCTTGATACTGTTTGTTTTTCTTCTTTTTGTAGGGAGAATGAGAGCTAGCAATGGTCAATGTATTGTGTTAGTTGAGCTTTTGATTGGTCCATCAGTTTTCTATCATTGCTAAAGGTTTCTGGGGCAGCCTGACAGGAACCCATCTCCAGATCTCGAGCTAGGCTTGGTTAGGACAACCTTTGCTGGAAGATTTTGTGCATGTTTTGGGTTGACAGGTGAGGAAACCTACTCAGATAGGGAGAGAAACATGCAAACTCTTGCTGTGAGGTGAGAGTGCTAGTCACTAAGCCAACGTGCTGCACGTCCAGAGGTGTCAAGCAAAGTCAAAATAAAAAATGTTAATTTTTTTCTCTTATACTCTGGGGAACAAATCAAAAATATGGCTGAAATACATAAACAAAGCCAGTAAGCCAGCTTGTGTGTAGCAACTGTAAACCCTGATATAACAAAAACAAATGGAATGTTATAGTGAAAGCTTTGAAATCCCTAAACAGCTTCCTACTGCGTAGTGTTATGAATACAGTGGAGGGTGAACTTTAGCCCAGAGGAAGTGGTTTCATTCACAGCGGCTCTGGGGGTCAGTCATTTGCCGGAAACACACTGGACGGACTTCCTGCTCACACAGTTAACAAGCTTCAAATTATTCCATTTATTTTTTATCATACAAATGCCACTACACTACATTAAGTATTAAGCATTAAATGTCATTGTGATTCAGTCCTGTATATGTTCTATTATATATATATATATATATATATATATATATATATATATATATATATATATATATATATAGATATATAGATATAGATATATATATATATATATAGATATATATATAGATATAGATATATATACAAGAAACACTATAGTGAGATAACAGCAAACTAGGTATGTGAAAGTTGCAGCTTGAATTACGCTATGAGAAGAGTAACCACCAGTGTAATTCAAGGAAGTGAATGTGCTTTGGAAACATATGAGCCATGTTAAATATATTTTATTGAGATAGTAAATGATAGTGATTTTCATTCCAGTCACTACCTGTTACAACATCAGCTCACGAGCAGGGATGGGTCTTTGAAGGTGAAAAGGAAACACTTAAACTCAGGTTTCCTCCCATGCTATCAAATGTGCTCAGAACTGTCAGTACCCACAAGTCATCTTTTAGGACTGTACTTATGACCTTATCGCTAAGCAACGATATGAACACAACCAACAAAAACAAACACGCAACAACATTTGCATACTGAATTTTATAATACAGTTAAATCTGGTTTTTACTATTTTATTAAAGATACAAAAATAATTTTCTAATTATGATTTAAAAAATCTTTCTCATTCTTACTATCAATAGGGTCTCTCTTCAATCAAATCTAACCTGTAACTAGGCATAGGGTTGGAGATGTATGAGTGAAATGCCATACTGTGGAACATTCCATACAAAGCAATAAGATTTCCATGGAAACAATCTGGTGGTACAGCCTCCATCAGAAAAGTTAGGATATAATATAAATCAAATGTTATTTATAAATTATCAATAACTATTTACATATTTAGATATTGCTACTTTTCAGTGACATCACGCTCAGGGTGTGCTACATGTATCTGATGGAATGTCCAGCAGTTACCATGGTGACACAATGCACACATTAGCAAACTCTGTCAAAAAGTCTTAAGATTGTTTGAAAATTCACAAAAACACAAATGGATTTAAATAACACAAAACCTGTGATCATATGAGTGCTCAGGGTCCTGTTTGGATTTTCAACAACAACAAAAAACTGAGGGCTAATGCTATCTAGCTTGTGACTAATTTTATGTGTGAGAGCCTTGCTTAACAGCGCAAATGATCTCTTTTATTGTAGTTCCAGCTAAGTCACAATATTGTCTTAAAATAAAGCACAGATTAAAGTCTAATAAAACCTCAGACAGAGCAGAGCCTACTGTTAGCATCACACCCCCAGGGAAGTGGAGAGAGGGGGGCTGAGGGGCTGGATATCTGAAGCACATTTCTTAAAAAGCCAGAGCAGTTTGGACCTGCTTCCTGCGTACACACTGACGCACTGTAGATTGACACGGGACAGGTCTGATCTTGCTGTAGAAATACTCACCATGTTCCTGGGGTTGGACATGAGAAAGTGCTGAGCCACATGCGCAGGCAGCAGGTTAAACAAGATCCTCTTGTTGTCAAGCTTCACCTTCTCCATATCATCTCTCTCTTCCTCCGCCTACAACGTACACACACACACACAGACACGCACGCACGCACACACACACACACACACACACACACACACAGACACACACACACACGCACGCACGCACACACACACACACACACACACACACACACACAGACACACACACACACACACACACACACACACACACACAGAAGCAGAGATGCAGTTCAAAAAGATGCTCCAAACCTGCTCAAAGCCAGCTGTAATGTCTTATCTCTGCCACTAGAGGGAGGTAAAGTTTTGCAAACAGGGGGACTGCTGAAAATAGAAACATGCATATTGTCATGATGCACTGTGACAGGAGCTAACCAATCACATTTCAGGAGAAAATGTGCAGTGAATATTTTTGGAAACGCAACAAAGCAGTTCAAAAGACACTCCCAGGTTTAAAAAAAAAACAAAATCTCAGTGCAGAATAAACACTTTGGAGTTTTGAGAAAGGTTGCTGTTAGTTAAAAATAAATAGCAACCTTATTTCAACATCTTTTAATAATTTATGGGGCACAAAAGCACAACACTAGAGCCAAGACTATTCAGTTGAAGTGCACATTTCTCAGTGTTTTGAAGAGGGACAAACAAAATCTTAATTATATTATTTAGTGCTGAAACTACATTTTTTCCATTTCAAGGATATAATGAGTTACTACTGCTCATTGAAAATAGATAAAGCATGTTGTCACACGTCGTCATAGGATTTTAAGTTGGCCTGGTGTTTAAACCAATTGAAGTTTTTAAGATTAAAGACATAGTGTTCATCCTGTGTTGTATGTGTGATGAGAGTGGGGAGAGGAGTGGGCTGTGGAAGTTTTTGTTTTTGTTTTTTTTCCCTTTATTTGTCTTTTTGTTCTGTTTTGTATTATTTCAAAATTGTAAAATAAATAAATAAAAAACATAGCATTCATTCAAAAATATTCTGACACTATATAGGCCTATTGATAAAATAAAGTGTTTACTAGTAGTGACCCTGCATCTTATCAGGTTATGACTTTTTAATTTTATATTGTTGTTGTTATGCATTTTTATGAACACTTGGCACATCAAACTAACAATGCTAAGTTGTTAAACTGAGTTCTGTAGATTCATATTATCGTTAGCTGTCTTGCAGCATTGTAATCAAGTCATGTTACTATTTATACATAACTGCATCTCAGAAGCATCCAGAACCCAGTAGTTGTTCTTTGTTATTGTGTAATTGAGAGTTTCCTAAAAATAACACCTGACACCTTTGAGACACCTTATGCCTAGGTTAACTCAGACACGAGACCCGTGTTTCTATGGCAACACTATGTCACTTGCGAACCAACAATAGGCAACAAAACAGCAAAACGGTTTGTAGCTTTTGCACAAGTATCTTTCATTATGTTAATATGATCTGTTGTCAATCTGATTATTCGTATATCCTTTATAAATATATATTACATTTGATATTGAAGTTCAAAAATCCAGCAACGAGGCATAATAAACCAACATACATAAAGGTGCATTGTGTAACTTTTCTGGTGGAGGGCCCATCACCTGCTTGTTTCTATGGATATGTCATTGCTCTGTCTGGAATGTTCCACAGTGTGAGATGAAACAGCTCTACTAGTACATCAGAATTATTCAATTACAGGTGGTTTTATAGCTCAAAAAGTTCTAGAAAAACAGGCATTCTGACTGTGAGCGGGGTTGCTTCTCCACAGACCTGACCTGTAACTTGGTCTGTTTTCCATGGAGATAGAAAAGGTTTAATGCCATACTGTGAAACATTCAAGACAAAGAAATAACATCTCCATGAAAAAAGCATTATACAGAACCTCCACCAGAAAAATTATACAAATGCACCTTTAAAACCTTGTGCAAGGACCAGAAAAAAACACATAAACACATAAATTAAACAGCCTAGTTAGTGTCTGTAAAAAGCCAAACAACATGCAAATTACGGCATAACTGGAAGCAGATAAAATGCTTGTCAACGTCAGTGTTTTTCAACCAATGAGATACACAGTGCAAAGCAGCCATTTAAAAATAGCAAACAAGTCCTACAAAGAATAGGTTGATCCACATTAGGTTCATAAAATTTGTGTATTAAGCTGAACCGGTCAATTTGAGTTTGTCACATGGTGTATATGGAATCAAATCAACTTTATATGTCCTTATTTGTTTTTATAACGTATAATCCATTAATTACAAATCAAGTCTAAATATTTTGGGGAATGTTTAGTGAAGACAAAATGTGCCCACATATATGGATATTGGAGTAAAAGAATTTGCTCTCTGCCATTTTTTTTGCTTATGGGCACCAAGTTTTGTCAAATCTGTTTTTTAAGTTAAAGCTCCACTGTGTAACCTTTCAGCCCAAAACAGATTAAAATAAAAGTAAGTTTCTCTTTTCATTTTGGATGTTTTATTGCACTTACTTACTTACTATGAGAAGACTTGCATTTCCACAAACCAGACTATTACTTGGCCTCCACCTCCACAAGTTCAATATTACACAATTAATTCTTACTCTCTATTCAACTGGGTTTAAGATGCTTATACAAGTACAAGTCCATACCTGAGTAGCCCAAAGATAGTCAAGCCGCAGTTTGAGATCGAGTTGTCGAGAATGAAGAGCCAAAGCCCCAGCGAACAACATCACCGCCAACACTGGGTCATAACCGCGCGTGTGCAGAAATCCTCCTCTGAAATACAACAACCAAATGGGATCTATTTACGCCCCGTGCACCAGGATTTGCCAAATTAAACACAGGCTAGGCTTACCCCACTGCTTGCCGGTATCCACTGGTCTCCATGACAACAGAGTAGATGACAGAGAGGATGAAGAGCAGCAGGATCTTGGGGAGTGAGGAGACGCGGAGGTAGGGTACGATGGTGAGGGTGCCAGCCACACAGGACAGCAGAGCGTAAGCCATGTTGGGACAGTTCTTACCCCCCGCTGTGGCGTTAGCAGGCCCTGTCCCAAGTGTGTGCGCACGGATAAGCTCCACAGTGCGGCTGGAGTTTACGCCCACCACCACTCTGCCCCAAGGAACACATCCTGCCTGAGAAGGAATCATTAAAATTCAGTGGTGGAATTTAACAGTAAAGTAATAAACACAGTATTTAAGTAAGAAATTAAGTATCTGTACTTTACTTAAGTGAATATTTTATACTTTTATTTCACTACATCTGACAGCAGATATCTGTACTTTCTCAACTACATTTTTGAAGAGGACTAAAAAGTAAAAGTATTTTTTATTATTGTGTGAGACCTGCTGAAAAGGCAAAGAAAACTAGAACATACAAAGAAAAACAGCTAGGGAAAAAAAACTGATTCCACTGTTACAGATATTTCCATTTTGAGAAATTTTCAGTATTTTTTCTTTTTGTTACCTTCTTCAGTAGGCATTATCAATGAATACAATTTCTAGCAGATTGAATAAAGGAGGGGTCTGTTGATTCATATTTTGATAGGAGTAAAATCTACTATACCCAAAGAAATTCAAATGACACATGTCTGTTTTTGCAAATGATCTCTTCACCTATTAATGACGTAATTATGTCTTGATGATATACATTGTCTTGCAGATGACAGGCCTTGTTTTTGTTAATGTTTGGTCACTGAAGTCTTGGGTCCAATGGGAAAGAAGGGCCAAGTGGTGGTGAGGGAATAAGAGGTTCAGTTGTATAGCATTTGGGCACAATAGGATGACAGTGCATACTGCTGTGTCCTTGAGAAAGGCCTCTAGAGACTGACCAAAAAGAGCAGAATTCAGAATTTAAAAGGTCTATATTATGCTATTTTTTGTTTCCTTATCAAAAATATATCTGGAGTTGTGTTTTGTTGAGTTCTTCTTTCAAACAGAAAACACTGTTCCACCTTGTGACGTCCACTGTGTTTTTAAACTCCATTCACCTTTAATAGAATCATTTGGATAATTTGAGCCCTGGAATTACCAGTCTCTACTGAACACAAGGTAAAAGGTAGCTGTTAACTTGACTACTACCACTATATGACATCACAAGGTGGAATGTTTTGCAGATGTAGACAGACTAATAATAAAAACAAAACACAACTCCAGTACTGGGAGTATACAACAGTATAACATGGCTTAAAGCTCACAAGAATCAATTTTGGGTAAAATAGGACCTTTCATGAAAATGCAAGACATTTTATTATTATAGTATAGTATTATTGTCTTTGGTGAACTGTATGTTGCATAGGTATCTGTTTAGAATCCAATGCCAAAGTGCAAGTACAATCCCCTCATATTTCGTTTTTTCTAAATTTACAAACATAACTTGCTCAAATTCTAATTAACTGGCTTACCCTATGCATCTCATGTCACTGTCAGTGGGGCCTACAGTGAGTCATGATGAACATATTGTCTGCAGCATATTGTCCATTAGAGTCTCAGCCTGACACAAAGTGATTTGGTTTAAAATATTTTAATGGGTATTTTACACTTGAACAGTAAATGCTTTATTCTGTGGAGACTCAGCAGTACCATCTGCCGCTCTGCCAGGCTTCACCCAGCAAACCAATGCCCCACACAAACACTGCCTAAATCTGTGGGATTAGCAGCCGAATGATGACACTGTACTTTTCCATGGCATAAAGTTATTCAGACAGTGCTCACAATGTTATTATTATTATCATAAAATGGAGAATGACTGCAGCTTCAACAATTGCATAACTGCAGTGACAATGACGAAGGAAGTCTAATAGAAAAGTGGCTGCATCCAATAATCATTTGGAATGTTTAGTTTTTAATCTATTTAACCATTATAGGGAAACAAATGGTAGTTATTGGCTCAAAAATTATAGCATATGTGTAAATCATGATTAATTTTTTTTTCACTTAAACCACAATGTTGACCTAAATCAGCTTATTAAGAGGAACTACAGAACATATTATCATGTATCATGTGTTTTTATCTTCTGAGAAGTGGCTATGTTACACATTTTGTATCCTACATGTATCTCTCCCTCAAAGTCTTAATTATTCAAATAATCACCACAAAATACAGGGATGTTGTGGAGATAGTGGGTAGGTGAAAATAGGAATTTTCTGGGCACGCAAGACCCATTCAAGACATTAGAGGATAGATCAAATGTGCATGAATCAATCCAAACACACTTTGAGTAAGCTAATAAACATCATGGTTAAGAGCTAATAAAAAGATTTAGTCTTGAGAGCTTTAAGCCATGTTACAATATTGTTACCTCCTTAAAAACATGGAGTTGTACTTTGTTCACACGTTTTTGTAATCCTGCATTATTAGTCTGTCTGTATCCCCAAAGCTCAAAATGCTCTATTCTACAAACTAAAGCAGTAGTTCACAAGTTACCTTTGACAATTTGTTTAGTAGAGATTGGAAATTCCTGGGCAGAAATTATCCAAATCATTCTAGTGGTGGTGTCTAGGTGTATGGAGTTTAAAAACACAGTAGAAGACTTCTGTATTACGACATGACATCACAAGGCCTAAATATGCAGGCTTTGTGTGTAAAACATGCGAGAATGAAACAAAACACAACTCAAGGTATAACATAGTTCAGAAAATAGTGTAACATGGGCCCTTTAAATCCCAGTATAATTTGTGGATGGTGCTGCAGTATTCACTCACCACACTGGCCTGAGAAACAGAGAAGGTGAGCAGGACGAGGAAGATGCAGAGCACAGTTCGAATCTGGATGGTGAGGCAGCCCGGGTGGCACTGAAACCACAAACACAAGAGCAGAGGGGGCGTATGAGGGGGGCAGAGAAGAGGTATGAGGAGGACAGGGGTATATTTGGGGAGTACGGGGGGTAATACAGTCAATGAATGAGGCACCTAGTTATCCGTAACAGCCTGACATCACTGTGGACACATCATTAGCCACTGGATGTAAATGAAACATGCTGCCTTGTAATGTGCACGTCTGCTACAGGAGACTCTGATGACTGCTCAATGTAGCGTGAACTAGCAGCAGCAGAGATAGGCTGTGTTTAGTTACAGTAATCCTTCAATGCTAATTATAATGGAATATAAGTTTCAAAACAGGAGTAGTGGATAATATAATTTTTCAAGTTTGTCTTTTTAAATCTGCGCTTAACTCTGAGACTGATGTTGGCATAAGTTAGCTGTCATATTCACAATCAAATGCATGGCAGGTTTATTGCTGCCAGACCACCAGGAACCCCACCAGGAACCCTCATAAAACCAACCAATCAGAACCAGTTATGTAAAGTAGGGTGGGATAAATGCGACGTTAGCTCTGTCCATCTGGATCTATATTTCTTCCAATTGCCAATTTAGGTGCAGTGTGTAGCTTTTCTGGTGGAGTGTACAATTGTTGTCTCAATTAAGAAGTCATTGCTTTGCCTAGAATGTTCCACAGTATGGCATTTAGCTTATTTATCACCATGGAAACAAACACGTCAGGATATATGTTTTTTAACCAAATGCTAATTATATATATGTTTACTTGGCTTAATATGGAACATTTCCAGCAAAGCAATGCTATATCCATGGGAACAAGCAGCCCTCAACCAGATCAGTTACACAGTACACTTTTAAGTATCTCAGTTATTATTACTAGTTTGATTAGATATACTTTGCATTATTCTGAATCAAATGAAAACCGATTTTGCTGATTGTACATTTTCTGTCATTGTAGTACTGCTACTTGCTCCACGTGTTTAAGAGTGTCCTACCTGAACCTTGGTGAGGTGTAGATACATGACGCAGGCCACATGGAAACAGACACACAGCACGAGCAGCAGCAGCACCAGCATCCCCCTGTACACAGAGGAGGAGAGCAGGGTCAGAGGGCACCACACTACTCTACAGCACACTTAAACTTAAGGTAGGGTTAATGTAAAATCAAAACTTTCCCTAGTGATACTTTGAACTTTGAACTTGATACTTTGAACATTTCCTGGGGGTGTGAAGCTAACAGAAAGCACTACTCTGTTAAAAGCTCTATTCCTCAAATTAGACTTGATCTGAGCTTTATTTTAAAACAAACCAGAAGGAGTTGGAACTCACACATAAAATTACAATCACAAGCTGACTAGCATTAGCCAAGGGTTTTTCAGTTGTCATTCTCACCTTTTCTGTTGAAAATCAAACACAGACACATTGAACACAGACTCCTGAAAATGTGTTGTTTAAATCCAATTTGTATTTTTTCATGAGTTTTCAGACCATTTAAAAACTTTTTTGTCTGTGTTTGCTAATGTGTACATTGTGTCACCTCGGTAACTGCTAAGCATTGTAATAGTAGATAAATATAGAACACCCCCAGCATGATGTCACTGGAAAGTATCAGTGATTTAAAATTGAACTGGGAGACAGGTCAGAATTCCATATTGGAATTTGCTGTTAAACTGTCAGATTGCAGATTTGTTGATCTGCTTTACATTTCTAATTACTGGGCTTAGTGATATGAAACAAAATCTTCTCTGTCAACATAAATAAACAGCAGTGAAAATGGCCTCAAAAAGTGGTGCAATTATTCACCAACATAGACAGTATATAAGGAAGTTATCAATTAAAAGGACTTAAAGCTATAAGATTTATATAGTCAATTTGATATATAAAAAAAAATAAAAGTCGATATGGTTCAATATTTGTATTTATTATATATTTCAAAATTTGTCTCAAAATCTGTGAGTTCCCCATAGAGTTACATGGGTCACTGACCTCCATCTGAAATCCTGACATAATCGAATTCTATCAACCTATTGTCTTTTTACACCTTTCTGTGACACAATGAGTTGCGTTACAAAGCAGGAAGCAGCTGGCGGTGTGTACTTACTGCGGGATCATTAGCAGATAGATAAGGCCAAAGAGAGCGGCGAGGATCAGAGACAGGACCACGGCACTGATGTAATGGTCATCGTAAACCTGGTGATACTGAAAAGAAAAAAGATACTTGTATATATTGACAGATATTTAAAGGGCCGATATTAATATGTTTTTGTTACATGTTATAAAGTTGTTTCCCCATCAAACCATACCTGGAGTTGTGTTTTGTTTCATTCACACATATTTAACACACAAAACCTGCATATTTAGTATGAGCTCTCCTTTCAAGCAGGAAACACTCTGTTCTACCTGGTGATGTCATGTGGTAATAGGAAAAATAGGAAGTACTTCACTGTGTTGCATTTGCATTATTTCAGATCTGGAATTGCCTATCTCTGCTGAACTAAAGATAAAACGGTAGTTGTTAACTTGAACTAACACTGTATGACATCACAAGGTGGAAGAGAGCATTTTGAGCTTTGGAGATGGAGACAGTCTAAAAGACCAATGTTATTCAAACATGTGTGAATGAAACAGAACACAACTGTGAGTGATTGATGAATTAAAAACATTATAACAAGGGTTAACGCTCATTCTTTTAAACATGGCAAGAAGATCATGTTACTGCCAAAAATAAAGTCACGATTTAGATATGATATTCCATGCGGTTGTTCCTGTGGGTTCTTTTAGATTTATCCTGGATTATTACACACTTAAAAGCTTATGTTTTGGAGTAGAAATAAAGCTTGTAAGTGTGTGACAGGGGGATTTACAGTGATTGCTTGTACTTGCCTTTTTGTAACCTTTGTTTACTCTAGAAAATCTGACAGATACTTCTCTTATACAGGCGAGTTCTGCTCACAAAAGTTTTATTGCACTAGATGCATTTTTAAAAAGTAGGGCTAACATCTTTTGGGCCATATCCAAGCTTATTTAGAGACGCTTTAAGCCCACCTTGAAAATGTGAAAAACAGAAGAACTTATTCCTAACATCCGTATGCATTCCTAGCATCCTAATTATTTACCAATTGGTTTATAAGCACTTTTCTTAACTCTGAAGTCAGAGCATCACACAACTGCTAACAACAACTAGTATGCTAACAGAACACCAGCATTATTTCCTGGTAGGGATGAACCAATACTGGTATTGAATATTGGCACCAATACTGAAAAAAAAAATCTGGATAGGACATTGGATCACAAATATGGGTTCAGCCGATATCAGGTTTGCACATATAAATCGATGTAGTAAGACTATTTACTGGTCATAGTTAGCCCAGAAAGTCTCAATGGTTGAACTTTTATTTACACAGAGCTGTTCGGAGATTAAAAAAAAAAAAATCTATAAAGGAAATAAATGCTGTTATTAGTCTCTGTACTGGTATTGGTTGATATCGGCAGATATTTAAAGTTATGGAATCAGAAACGGTATTGTTACTGAAAAAGCTGGATTGGTGCATCCCTACTGGTTCCCTGCCTATAAAACTGTTGTTAAATAAAAATGTCTGCACCAATTGCCCCTGTAACAGAATAAATACACTAAAAAGATTCAAAATTACCTCACAAGTGAGTCAACTGAATCTCTCGAGCCGGTATTATAATGAGGTTGATTGCTTTTAAAGTGAGTCATGCTGGCACAAGACTAGAGGATCAATATTTTAAATTACTTACTTCTGTGGAGAAAAATCAAATTCATTCATCAAGTACAGATGTTTCAATCATTACATTTCAATCCAGGTACCAGCTTAATTTACAATATCTTGTCCTAAAACATTCCATTGTTGACTGCCAGGTTAGAAAACACATCAACTTAAAGGTGCATTATGTAACATTTCTTAAGTCATGTTAGAAAGCTGTTACCTCAACAAAGACATACACAGTTATTGATCCAGTGTAGCACTCCATTTGTGTTATTTCTACATACACAGTTATGTTTTGTTTCATTCACACATGTTTAAGTAACCCTTTATTATTAGCCTGTCTACATCTCCCACACTCAAAATGCACTGGTGCATCTAGTGATGTCATGAAGCAGAAGTTTTCAAGAACTCTGCCTAAATCTGCAGGGTTTGTGTGGAAAAACGAATGTGTGAATGAAACAAAAGACAACTCCAGGTATGTTTTTGATGAGGAAGCAACATTATAACATGGGTCAGAAAACAGTAATATGGGCCCTTTAAATTGATATGAAGATCTTTTTATCTCTATTTAAAGCTATAAATTGGAACTTTCCTGGCAATGCAATAATATCTCAATGAAGACGGGCAGGCAGCATACCCCCAACCAGAAAAGTTCCATAGCGCATCTTTAACCCATCATTTTGAATCCTCCTTGGAACACACATCCGCATGCACAAACTCTTGGCTGCTGTGCCTCCTTCATTGCTCCAGCCCACGCGTACATAGGAGGAAGATATCACGTTCAGACATTCCCAAATCATTATCCGTGCCCCCTCCTGAGCCGGTGGGTGGATTCCTCTGGCTCATAGACAAGCACATCACAGACCAGGCGTGGGAGCGTGGGAGAGCGCGGAGAATGGGTCGCGCTCGTAGGGTGTAGTAGAAGAAGTCACGAAGCATGGATCCCTTTTGTTTAATGAGGGAGGCCTTCGTGTGGGCTACAATCACACTCTGTTTTAGTAAGCTACTGTACATGACCTGCGTGACCACAGGCTGAGTAGACCTTTTGTGATCCGGGCATCTTTTTATTTAATCTCTGTTTTCTGTTTAGTGGGAGTTTCATAGTTGTTCTTGCTTATTTTGCCCTGTATAGTTTATATAAAGGCACTAGTGTTCTGCTCAAAACTTTTTATCGTCCGTAGCCTGCAATCCCAGTGTTTTCTATTCCAAGCTTAAATGTAGTCAGGTCCTTATAAAGCAGGGAAGATGATAACTATGAGTACACCCGGAGAAGGCTAAGTAAACTGATATGTCTAAACCAACATTAACCCTATTACATTAATTATGTAACTTTTCGCAGATCCGCCACCTACTTGTTTCCATGGAGAGGTTATTGCTCTGCCTGAATTTTTCATGATAAGCCAATAAACTGATCGTGTATTGCAACTTTGAAAAACAGAGAGGACTCACCTCTCCACAGATTTGACCAGTAGGTTTAGCTGATGGTATCACCTGCTTTTCTCCATGGAGTTACAGATGAGTTTAATGCCATAGTACAGAACATACCAGATGAGGAATAGCATCTCCATGGATACAAGAAGGTGGTGAATTACTTGTACTGATATTGAGTTTATGACTGTGTCTGGGCCACTGTTCATTAGCTAAGATAGTTACTGTGGAGTTCCATGTTTTTAATAGTATTATAGATTGTGGCTTGAAGTGTTTTATAAATAGATGGTCACATGGTCACATTTTTATATAGCGATTTTCCATCTTCAAGACACTCAAAGCACTTTACATCAAGGAACCACTCACCCATACACACACACACACACACACACATACACCAGTGTATGCAGACACTGTAGCAAAGGTGAATTGTGTAACTTTTCTGGTCGACTGTCCGTCAAATGTCAGACCAAACCAGACCAAGTTACAGGTCAGGTCTGTGGAGAGGCGACCCCACTCATAGTCAGAATGCCTGTTTTTCAGGGTATTTTTGAGCTCTAAAACCACCTGTAATTGAATAAATTTAAGGTAGAGCTGCTTAATGTCATACTGTGGAACATTCCAGGTAGAGACATTTCCATAAAAACAAGCAGGTGATGGATCCTTCACCAGAAAAGTTAAACAATGAACCTTTAAAAGAGTTGCTCAGGTGTGTGCTCTCACCCGTCGCTCCCGGTCTCTGCTCCTGTAGCACAGCGTGATGAAGTTGAGGTCAGATGTTTCGGACTCAGTTTGGCGAGCCTCGATGAGCCGGCCAATGTAGCGGTTGACGCGTGTTCCCGGGGAGTGCTGCACCGCCGTGGCTGAAAACGAGGTCCTGCTCCTCAGTTTTTCTGACGCTGTCCGCAGGGCCCTCCTCTGTCAGACAGCACAAAGACAACACAATCTGTCTCAGCAGAGGCCCTGTGTACAGCCCACTGAGGCCCAGCGTGAGTGTGTGTGTGGGCTGTGGGCAAACGCATCGTCATATGGCCTTAAAGGACTTCACAGACAGCCAGGAAACAGGAGGTGGAACTTGGGCGAGACAAGGATCATAATACCTATAAAGCTATAGCTTATATGCTATTGAATTCACGTGTATTAATATCCAGTACTTTACAGTGACATCATGCTGGAGGGGTTCTACATGTATGTCTATGGCAGAACGTTCAGCAGTTACCATGGTGGCATGTTTCCAAATAAGTTTTAAGATGGCCTGAAAACTTGAGAAAAAATACAAATTGTATTTAAACAACACATTTTCAGTACCCTGCGATCAATACAAGCATTCAAGGTCAAGTTTAGCAGTTTGCTTTTCAGTCTGCTGAAAAACTGTTGGCTCAGTTCTTTATGGTAGGATTGTGTTAAAACAAAGCTCAGATTAAATTCAGACAGAGAAGTGCCTCCAGTTAGCAGTGCATCCTGAGGTAATGTTGATGAGATCATCTGCAAAGTATCAATAGTTAAAGGGACAGTCCAGAATTTTGGACATAGGGGCTCATTTCCTAGTTAGTCAGAGTGTTGGAGACGTGTGGAGACCCTATTTAAAATATTCCATCCAGTCCTTGTATTTGCAGAGGTCACTGGTGCCAGGCTAGCTCATGTCAATGGCCATAGTTAGCCTGCTGCTAAAAACAGATTACCCACTCCACAAAGCACCCAAAGCAAATCTGTTATTACACCAGACTGTTGATATGAATGTCTGTGGTGATAGAATAATGTTTGAAATAAAACTAACCTTGCATTGCATGAATCGTTGCATGTTGAGGGACTATTTTCTCAGCAGCAGCAAAATTTTACTTTGCTGGCAAGATAGGTGCTAGGTGATATCAGTCCACAGCTGCCAAGCTTTTTGTCAGGAAGTACAAGTCGCTGCTGCTGCTCAGACATAAATCCTTCAAATGCAAGTTTGGTTTTACTTCTAAAATGATTCTATTAACACAGACATTCACATCGACAGTTTGGTGTAATGTGGCTTTTTGGAGTGTGTAAGAGTGGGTGGAGTGTTTTTAGTGTCAGGCTAACTATGGCCATTGACATGCACTAGCCTAGCCCCAGTGACCTCTGCAAATACAAGGACTGGTCTCCAACACTCTGACTAACTAGGAAATGAGGTCCTATGTCCAAAATTTAGGACTATCCCATAAAGACATAGGCACAGGTGTGAACTTCTGTAACGTGGACTAAAGAAAAATATAATATTGAGCTGTCTTACATGTTTTTCTACATTGTTAATGGCGGAATATTTACAGACAAAAAAACAAAACAAAACTGTGATGACATATAATTAACACAGTAAGGTTTTCATCAGTCATCATCAAGTAAAATCAATACTGATACTACTGCTATTGCTACGTATTTAACAAGCAATGCAAGTTAATTATAACAAGAGCTTTTACTTCTATTATGAATTTACATTTTAGTGCAAAGGTGAAAAAATCCTGACATTTCAACAGTTACAAAAAGTCAAATGATGTCCTTTCAGCTCATTCAACGTTCAGTGTTGTTACTAATATGACTATGACTGCGACAAAACTACACCTTTCTAGACTTATTATATTATAAGTTTGAAAAAGCACAAAATTAGAAACCAAGGCCAGTGCTATTTGAAATGTAATTGTTGATACACAAAACATTGGGAAAAATGACGACAGTCCGGTAAATAAATTCTCATCCTCTCCAATGAAAAGCTTTCGTTTCAATTTAGCGCTTATTAAATTGCCTTTTATATCACAAACAGCCACTGAGTGCATCCTGCCGAGCTGCCTGCCACATATTAGAGTTTATAGTTGGCTCTGAACGGGTGAAATAAAGCCTGGGTTAAAAATAAACCTGGATTATCACACAGCTCTGCTCTGAAGTACACTGTCGAATGTTTAGAATCGGCCAAATTGCTTCCCCAAGAAAACCACTTTGTTATCCTGCGTGTAGCAATGCATGTTTTTATTTATAGACGGCACCTTTGAGTAACAAATAGATGTCTCTCAAAGTGTGGGGCTTGAAAGGAGCAGGTTAAAAATAGCAGATGAAATAGTCTCTAAATTAGCATCTGTTTCGGCTAAAGTCAATTAAAACACAGCAGCGCTTCTCACACCCATCATACACTCTCCCTAGAGGTGCAAGGAGAGATGGTGATATGATTCTGTTCCCACGCACAGAGCAGCTAACTTCATCTCATATTCAGCCCCTTCAAATCTGGAAATGTTTCTCTATAAAAATGGCACTGCAGGGGAATCGTGCCATCCTCCCGTGGTGCAGCTTTTTTTTTTTTTTTTTTTTTTGTGGTTTTAGCAATTAACTCGAAATTATCTTCCTACAACAAGTCTTAGAGCAGCAATGATAAGCCAGTTATCTCCTAAGTGGATCAAAACCAAATTAACCCTTTAAAATGTGAGTGTCATTGGCCTCAAACACTTTGTGGAGTGTATCTGACTAGCCAAGGTAAATACAGTAGCGTTTTGTAGATTTGTGGATTAGATAGGTTGCAATTACAATGACTAGAGATGACGGAGGCAGGATTTGTATTTGTTTAAATGAAAAACTGTAACTGAACACAACAATTAATCTAACTCAATTTATGATCTGTAGAACCAACTATACGCTGAGGAGTAACGGATATATTTTGCAGTTGTTAAGGAATCTGCTATTATGTGTTATATCTTGATACTACATTCAGACCAAAGATAATAATAGCTTTTCATTGTGTATTGAACAAATGAAATTTCAGCAACACTAGCTTGGGGAAAATCATTTCAAAAACTGAAAAAAGTATGTTAGTGTATCAAGCCATCTATTAATAAATTAAAGCAAGAAATATTTTTAGGTTAAGGCTAAAGTTAAGGTTACAATAGTATGTATATTGTCGAGATTGTCAACAAAACTTAACTAATGAACCCTGTTGATATCTATATAGTGGTAAGTAACAAGTAAGTTCTAGTCATTATAGTAGAAACTTTACTATTTGCGTAATATTTACAATTAGCAACACTTTAACCAAAATAAGAGATCTGAGCATTCCCTCCTTGTTTTTTTTTTTTATGTCAAAATAAAATCCAACCAATTACAAATCCCAGATGGATGTTCACATATTCCTCTGGTCTGTCTGTCTTCACACACTCCAGGGCATGGCTCTGTTTAGCACAGATATTAAGTTAACAGATGGATGTTGTATTTAGACACATTACAAAAGTAAACATGCTATAATCTCAGTTTGTAAAATGCTGGCTATGACCTTTTAAAGAGCCCATATTGCACTATTTTCTGATCTATGTTACAGTTGACTTAAAAACTACCACTACGTGGCATCACAAGTTGGGACAGAGTATTTTGAGCTTTGGAGATGTAGATCGATTAATAATAAAGAATTATTCAAACATGTGAAAGAAACAAAACACAATTCCAGGCATGTTTTTGCAGGGGTATCGACATTAGAACATGGCTTAAAGCTCAAGAGTCCATTTTGCGTAATATAGGACCTTTAAGTATGACTTGTATTATGAAACTCCATTACAACATATGATACAATGTTAGAAGTTAGCCGCTCAGATAATCATGCAACAATATGTAATACTATTAGACCAGATGCTACCCGGCTGTTATGATCACTAGCAGTCATAACACTACCTCATCATAAGCTAATACTAATACTCCACCATGCCTGGATTACAGCTAGTAACCTATTTCTGAACAGCTAGAGCCTGCGGTGGCCCAACCAATCAGCACACACACCCAGACGGGGAGGGCATCAGAGCCAACCAGCAGTGCTCTGAGTCAATGCTGCGTCACCAGAGTTTGAAAAGCAAAACATCCAGCCAACAAACCCAGCGCTGGCACATGGAAGAACACATGAGATATACGGATTCAGAGGAGGGTTTGCGTCACTCCTGCTTCAGAATATCTATCCCACTGGCTTACTTTTAAAACTAGTGATGCGCGCATACTCTACAGTGGAAATCTAGAGACAGATTATCAGGGAGTGTGACTCTGTGACTGTGAGGGTGTCGAGTGGATTAACAGCTGGTTTTTGTAATAAAGAGAGATCAAGTCACTGGATGGATAAGAATATTGTATCAAAAATATACACTACTGTAGTCTAAGTACTGCAATACATTTTGGTTGGCTGTGAAACTTAACATGAGAAGTTGTAGGCCCCACATAAAGGCATACACATAACACTACTTCCTTGTAATAATTGTATCCAGTTAAAAGAAATGCAAATAATTATGAGATTAGGGCTGCCACTATCAGTGATTCAGATTTTCTATTGTACATTATAAATTTCTATTGTACATTTTAAACCAAAATAAAGCTTGAAATATGGTGACTGACTGTTAATCAATCAGTATGCAGGTGTAGGCACTGCCAACACAGGGTGAGTTGTTATTACAGTACATTTCATTTTTTGAACCAGTAAAAGCACAGGCTAATGTATATTACTACTAGTGTCACTTTTACTGCTTACTTTATTGTGTTATTATTGTCATAGCAGTGTAAACCCCATCATCATCAAAAACTTTATAATGCTTTATAAACTTTATTAACTGCTTTATTAATGATTAATCCGAACTACTGATACTTGATACAGCTGATCCAATCAACATTCCCTGTAGGTATGATGCTCTCTTATTTTAACACAGTCTAGCAATAAATAACAGCCACAAGCTAGTTAACATTGGTCAACAGTTTTTCAGTCACTCACAGTCATATTTTTGTTGAAAATCACAACACTTAAAACACCTAAACAGGACAGTTTTCAGACAATCTTGAAACTTTTTGACAGTGTTTCCAGTGTGTGCATTGTGTAACCACGGTAAATTCTATCAATAACATTTACAAAGAGAGTAGTTGCACACTGTCAACACACAGCAAAAGGGTGCAAAGTGGTCAGATACCCACAGATGGTTGTGATCTCACCTTGTCATCGTCCTCACAGGTCATGACATTGGAGAAGGGGATCTCAGCTTTGAACATCTTCCTGCAGTGCATGAGCTGCACCAGCAGGTAGCACACCGTCTTAAACTTCATCCTCTTGGCTGGTTTGATGTCTGACAGAATTATACCAGGGAAAATCTGCAAGAAGAGCAACAAGAAGGATGTTTTATTACAATGTATGTGTCTGAAATGCACTATGTTTTCTGAATATGAGATAAAGACTGCGAATGCTATACTGCTACTACTGGATAAAGATAAGGAACACATTCAAGGCTTCTCTGTTGTTAGATTTAAATTCATAGCAGCTCTTCAATGATCAGTAGTCCTCAAAATGGCTTGCATGACAGAAAACTGAAATCAAAGAACTGGAAGTCAGAATTTGGCTACTTGGAGAATGAGTAAATGAGTAAATCCTCCACAGCCTAATCTAGAGCAATGGATCTCAACAGTGACCACCTGCTCCAGCACCAGAAGTAAATTTTTCATTCATTTTACCCACAGACTTTCGAAAAATTCTAATATTGGTTCAAAGACATTGTGGAGGCTAATCAACTACGTGATAACTAATATGCCAAAAACACAGTCATTTTCAGGCCAAAAAGATAATTTATAACATAAGATTTGGTGAAATACTTCAATAACTTAGCAGTGCAGAATGTTTCAGAAACAAATTTTAAATAAAGTTGGTCTTGTGGTCATTATTATTATTTATTTATTTATTTTTCAGAAACTCTAAGGGAAAAATTAATGATAAATTTAGGAATTGTGGGATGGGGTATCACTGTTGAGCTCCATGTGGAAACACTGTAAAATGATAATTCTTTACAATATCTGAATAATAGTAATTTAGCAAAGAGCTAAAAAAAATAACTCAGATGCAGATACCAGATGGATTGCAAAGAAAAAATATGCAAAAAGTAAGGTGTATTGTAATTCAAGTTCACCTTTACTTTGATACAGCGCAGATGGAGTTTGTTAGACTGGAATACATTTTCTGAAATCTACTTATTATGTTTTGTTGTGATGAAATATTATCAAAGCAACACATTTGTAGCTTTTGTAATAGCTCCATTTTGCAGTTTTCAGGGAGACAAATCTGGCAACCCCACACCATGTACCATTATCGTTTGACTGGTCAGCACAATTAAACTTATAAAACTTCACATCAAAAGAATCGTCCGAACTTTTCCTTCAAACTTAATCTATTAAACTTTAAACTCATCTCTACGACCTTCATTTATCTACAGTCTACCAGTTAATTCTCCCGAGACCAAATTCCCAAATCTGTAAATGAGGTATGGGCAAAAAGATGACGTGACATTTTTAAGATGAAAGACTGAATTTTAAAGAGCTTTGCTGAATCACCTCATTTGTTGGATGAAAAATAGATCTCAGGTTTTTAGGGCTGGGCCATATAACATAGAAAATTAATCAGGATCTCAATTTTTCAATAAAATTATTTAAAAAAATATGTGTTTTAATGTTTATTTCATGAACATAATCAAGATAGGTGTTTAATCAGTGCATTTTAACACACAAGTAATCACATTTATTCCTCCAAAAAAAAATAAATAAATAAATTTTAAAAAAAGAACACATGGTTTAATGACATGGATCGTTTAATTTTTATTTATTTATTTACAAAAATATTAAACTTCTAAAAAAAAAAGAAAATATGACAGGTTTTAGAAAAACTGCTACCTGCATAAATCACAGTTACATTATAAAAAGGTATATTGATTGAGCAGTTTAGTCATTTGTAAATTTTAAATGAATGGATGTTGCTTCAATTAAAATGTGATTAACTGAGTATTGTGGAAGTTATGCGTAGTAAAACGGAGCCGACAACTTGTCACATTTTAGACACAAAACATTGCGTGTTGCTTTATTAACTGAACTCACAACTCTCTAGAAATGGCTAATAACGGTAAACAGAACAGCGTGCCTCAAACGTCAACGGGTCTTAAAGGGACCGCGACTACACTGCATAAAGAGCACAAACACAAAAACTAAACACTGAACATAGGTGAACATGTAATTAATATGTCTCCAGTTAGTGGTGAATTATGTATGTAATATGTATGCTAAAGGAACTACACACGTCCCCCCAGAATTCACCCAAATAGAGAAAACAGTCAAAGGGGTGGGGGGTGAATCAAGCGGCCATAGCTACTCCTTTGAACCAGGATATTCGGAACTGCTTCCTCAGGGGTTGTTTGTGGATCTCTACTGTGGCATGGCAGAGGAGAAGGAGAAGGGGGGGAAGGAAAAAGGGGCCTAGTCAGAGGACATCCTCGTTTTGGAGGTTGGGCCAATTCAATTGGTCGGGCAAAATCCAAATGAGCGGGTTTAAGTCGATCCACAGACATGCACTCCGGTTTACCCCTTACGTCCACCACAAAGTGCTTGTCCCCCACCTCCAAAACGCGGAAGGGACCCTCATATGGCGGACGGAGAGGACCTTTATGCCCATCGACATGGATGAAAACATAGCCCGCCGACTACAGACCACTGGGGACATGCGAGCTTGGGAAACAATGGCAAAACGTGGGGAGTGGCGCAAAAAGCCTGGCGTTGTCCAAAAGTGCAGTACGCTGGAGCGGGGCTGACCAGGGGGCTGTGGTGCTGGGGACAAAATCCCCCGGGACCCGCAGCGACTGACCGTAGACTAGCTCTGCAGAGGAGGCCTGGAGATCTTCCTTTGGTGCTGTCCTGATGCCCAGCATGACCCACGGGAGTCTGTCGGCCCAGGAGCTGTCCTTCAAACTGGCTCGCAAGGAAGCCTTCACAGACCTGTGGAAACGTTCGCAGAGGCCATTACTCTGAGGGTGATAGACTGTAGTACGGTGGAGTTTCACACCCAAGCTTCTTGCAACGGCATTCCAAAGTTCAGAAGTAAACTGCACGCCACAGTCCGAAGAAATGTCTGAGGGGGTGCCAAAACGGGACACCCAAGTGCCAATAAATGCCCGTGCCACATCAGCTGATGTTACTGATGACAGCGGAACAGCCTCTGCCCACTGTGTGGTACTGTCGATCATAGTCAGCAGATATGTGTAACCTTGTGAGGGGGCAAAGGGCCAACCAAGTCGACGTTAACATGGTCGAAACGCCGTTCTGGCACTTCAAACTGTTCCAGTGGAGCCTTGGTGTGTCGGTGTACTTTGGCACGTTGGCACTCCACGCAAGTATTTGCCCAGTCCCTCACATCCTTTTTCAGTCCATGCCACACAAACTTGGCTGACACCAGCCATTGTGAGGCCTTAGTTCCAGGGTGTGAAAGGCCGTGGATGGCATCAAAAACTGATCGCCTCCATCTTGCAGGGACAACAGGCTTAGGGGAGCCCGTGGAGATGTCACATAGTAAAGTGGTGCCGGTTTCGTCAAATGCCACATCCCGAAGCTGCAGTCCTGTAGTGGACGACCGACAAGCCTGCACGTCCGGGTCTGTAGCCTGCTCCTTTGCCATGCTGCTGTAGTCCAAGCCACGGTGGACAGTCCCTGCAACGGCTTGAGAGAGGCAGTCAGCAACATGGTTGTTTTTCCCTGCAACGTGTTTAATGTCTGTCGTGAACTCGGAAATGTAAATCAGTTGTCGCTGTTGCCGGCCAGACCACGGTTCAGTTACCTTGGACATGGCAAAAGTCAATGGCTTGTGGTCCACAAAAATGGTGAACCGGCATCCCTCCAGTATTGAACGAAAATGCCGAATAGCAAGGTACACACCAAGCAACTCTCGGTCGAAGGTGCTATACTTCTGTTCACTGGGGCGTAACTGTCTGCTGAAAAAGCAAGAGGCTGCCAGGCATCACCTACCCCACTGCTCATAAACTGCACCCACCAATTGTTGGCCAAAGCAGCCCTCACCTGAGAAGGCAGCTGACGCAGGAAAAGGTGGAGGAAAAGAAAATCCGGTGTGTGTTCACTTAGCAGGTCAAGAATTCGGTCCATGAGTTCTGAAGGCTTGCTGTCACCCAGCCCCTGAAGAGAGAAAAGCCTACTGGCCCTCTCAGCATCAGAAAGTTTGAAAGTCTTTAGCAAATGAGCCTTCAGTGCATCATATTTCCCAGTTGTAGGAGGGCGTGTAAGAAGGCACACAACTCTCGATGCCGTAGAGCTCCCAAGGGCAGACACCACGTAGTAGTATTTAGTGTTATCGGCGGTGATCTCCCGCAGGGCGAATTGTGCCTCAGTCTGCGCGAACCACGCTGAAGCCGACGATTCCCAGAATTTGGGGAGTTTCAGGGACACTGCGTTCGCGGTCATGTTGATCTGGATACGTCCAGCAAACAAACGTCGAGGTCACCAGTGTGGAAGTTATGCGTAGTAAAAAGGAACCGACAACTTGTCACATTTTAGACACAAAAAATTGTGTGTCGCTTTATTAACTGAACTCACAACTCTCTAGAAATGGCTAATAACGGTAAACAGAACAGCGTGCCTCAAACGTCAACGGGTCTTAAAGGGACCGTGACTATACTGCATATAGAGCACAAACATAAAAACTAAACACTGAACATAGGTGAACATGTAATTAACATGTCTCCAGTTAGTGGTGAATTATGTATGTAATATGTATGCTAAAGGCACTACAGTATCTCTATTTCAAGTTTGAATTTCACATCTGAAAAACATATACTCGTGTATATATATTGTAGCGAATAAGTCATGTGACGCTGTAATGCACATGTCAAGTTACTGTGAAATACTGGCTTCTATATGTATGTATGTATCTATGTGTGTGTGTGTGCGTGTGTGTGTGTGCTTCAGATAACACAAGGCCAAAGGATTAACTATTACAAAACTGACACTTTGACAGCAGCAGTCTGTCACAGAGAATCCCGTACCTTTCGTCGATGAGATGGGACAATGAAAAAGGTCTCGATGTGATGTTTTTGCAGGAAGGCGTGTCTCTCATGTCCAAACCCTGGTTCTACCTCATAATCTCCGTTTAGACACTCCAGCGTGGTCCTGGTAATGTGCACCTTTCTGAAAGCACGGAAGAGAAGAGGTTTGTTTCCCATAGTAAAATCAATGCATGTAAAATAATTATTGTATTCGTTATTTTTATGCATGCAATTAAAAGATATATATAGAAAATGCATATATTATTTACAATTAGGGCTGGGCAAAAAAATTTTTTTTTAAATCACGATTAATCGCATGAGTTCGAGCGTTTAATCATGATTAATCGCACGTTATACGCAAAACCAATTAATGAATTAAAAAATAGAGTATAGCGCTCTTTTATTGGAAATGTAAATGAAAGAGCCACACATTTGTTGTGCAAACAGCATTTCTTTCACAGGGGAATCCTCAGAGCCTTCAAGGTATTCAGGGAAGGCTCAAGAAAAAAATTTTGAATGGACGTTTGTACTACTAATATATTTATTGAATATTTTTTTATGCTGTGAGTAATGAACACTATACTAGTCATAATTTCTAGATCAGTGTTATAAACTTGGACCGATATTTCTTAGGAAACAAAGGGTTAATATAATGGAATGGAAATGGACCAATCGCATTTTTTCTTCCAATGGTATCTGGGTAAATCAGTTACTCCAGCACTAAACTAAAGAAATAAGTTCAGCTCAGAGCGCACGGCTGGTCCGGCCACAGCCGGTGCCCGCGGCTGAACCCGCGGCTGGAGTCGGAGCCTGCGGCCGAACTCGCGGCCGGGCCCGTGGCTCGCTGAGGCTCGGGCACGTTGCATCTCACGTGGTCAGAAAAAAGTGAAAAAAATGTCAAGAAAAGACGTCAAACTTAAAGAAACCCTCGCAGTGGACTTTTTCAAAATAAAAGCCAGTGAGAAACAGACGTTTACAATGAAATAAATAATAAATAATAAAAACTGCGTTAACGGCGTTAAAATAATTGTCGGCGTTAATGACTTAATTAGTTAACGCAAAGTTAACGCGTTAACGTGCCCGGCCCTATTTCCAATTAGGGGTGTCAAATTATCGCGTTAATTGCGATTAATTAATTAGAGTCATATTTAGCGCGTTATGTTTTTTAATCGCGTTAATCTCATCTTTAATCTCTAACTTTACTGTTTCTGTATGCGAGTTGCTTTATTATAAAACCTGTTTTTATGTGTTGTTGGGACAACAACACACACACATACACAAAAAAACACATTTATACATTTTTTTATTTCGGTAATTCCACTCATTGTCGGAAACCCACACAAAACGCGCGCAGTAAGAGCGATGTGAACGTCACGTTAACGTTGGCGGCGTCAGGCACAATGGACGAGGTCAAACAGCCAGTAGAACAGAGGCAGCAGTGCACAGGTAAAACACATTCGTGTTTTGGAAATTATTCTCCCGACGTGAAATATAAAAGAAAATAACAAATATAATATCGCCTACAACTTAAATGTCACTGGTGAAAACAACCTGCATAGACTCATGATGTCTGCACTACTGTCCTATAGTGACCTGCCACATGAGGGGACACGCACACAAACACACACAAACACAAACACACACCTTCATCATCGTCATTAACCTGAGAACGCGCGGACAACGTTTCCTTCCGTAGTTACTGCGTGGACACCGACGTGCTCCCGTGAGCCGCGTGTGGATCGTGTTTTCTCGCGTACGCGGCGTAAACCGCGCTTCCTCCTGTGCGCCTCTAAACCAGAACTAACACCAAGACTAAAACCAGGACTAATCCAGTCCAGGACTAAACCAGGACTAAACCAGAACTAAAACCAGAACTAAAACCAGGTCTAAACCAGGACTAAACCAGGACTAAACCAGGACTAAACCAGAACTAACACCAGAACTAACACCAGGACTAAAACCAGGATTAATTCATTCCAGGACTAAACTAGGACTAAAGTAGGACTAAAGCAGGTCTAAACCAGGACTAAAACAAGGACTAAAACCAGTGATGTCATATATAAAGCATTTCTCTATCAATAATATTTTTAATATGGTTAAGGAAAGACTGGACTTTTTATTGTCTTTAAGTAGACAAAAGTTATTATGTTCAGATTTCCTCGTCTTTGCTACTTTACAGCAAACAGTTTCTTATTCATGGAGACTTGGGCTCAACAGCCAAATTGAAGAGATTTGTTGAACAATAAATGACTTTATAAAGTCACTTTTTTAAATCTATATCAGTCTTTTGATCTGCCACAATAATGTAATAATGAATTTAAATGAAAATACCTCAAATTGAAGGCTTTTCTCAGCAATTTTTAGGTGAGATTAAAATGAGATTAATTAGATTAATTAATTACAGATCATAATTAATTAATCTCTAAATTTTTTTTATCGCATGACAGCACTATTTACAATACATATACAAGTTAATAAGGGCATAAGCTAATCAACACTACATAAAACAGAATTTCTAAAAATATAACACATTAAATTGAATTCAAAATATATTGCTGAGTTTCAAAGAGTCTTTTAAAGGGGCTTTGACCAATTCATCTCTCCCTATACTATTCCCCCAACACTTATAGTACAAGATGCTGTTAAAAATGTATGCACTTAAGTCTTCAGTGATTATCCAACTCATTATTTTTATCAGCCTGACAGTCCTTTAGCCTTCTCAAAATTCCTCAAAGAAAAATCCGAATGCCTTGTATAATCTGGGAGCACGTCTTTAAATCTCAGCGCTTCATTCCAACAAGATGGAATTGGGCCGGCCTCATTTCATGGTTTAAAGTGCAAATTAGCCTCTTACTGTACATGCATTTAAATATAGCTTTTAAAGTATAACAGAAGTACTGAAAAGTGCATCTCACATTGAATGGACTATAAAATAAAAGGTTATAGTAACATATTGTGTTTCTATGCAAGAATTTTATGAATAAATAAAAAAGCCACCTGTTCTAGTCCTGTTTCTGTCCTGGTTAAGGTTATTAATTAAGTATTGAAAATCGGATAATAACCAATACTAAAACTAGTATTAAAACTAAATATTCATTTGACAAGTATCAATACTAAAAAAAGTCACATTCATAGGACAGAAATTAACCTTTACTAAATAGTTTTAGAATGATCTTCAACTGTATCACAACAAGTATAATGACGAGTATACGCCCATGGACCACAAGAGAACCTACCTGGACGACTGAGGGATTACACAGATACCACATGGCAATAGAAAAGAAAGCTATTATTATTTAATGTTATATTCTATTGTTTAAATAAAGACTGTTTTTATTACTAGTACTGAGTATCAAGTCTCATTAGTATCAAAATCAAGTTTGAAATTTTAATATCAACAACAGTAGTCCTGGCTGACCAAGGCAGCCCATGTTTAGTTCCATGTCACACTGTGCTCTTCAGAAGCTGCTGCCTCCTGCCTACATGTGCTTGTATGTCTGTGTATTTTTGTATGTGTGTGTGTTTATGTGAGTGCGTTCCTATGTGTGTGTTTGTATGTTTTGTGTGTGTGTATGTGTGTATGTGTACTGTGTATGTGTGCTGTGTGTGCAGTACATGTTGCGTGTGTTTGAGTCAGTACTGACCCGGGCAGCCCTCCGGCCTCCATCACATTTGCGAGTGTGACATCGTTTGACCAGACGTCGTACTGCCACTTCCTGAGACCCAGCACGCCGCACAGCACCCGTCCTGTGTGCAGCCCCACCCGCATGTTCAGGTCCACCTCTGTGGCCTCCACCACCGACCTGCAGAAGTACAGAGGACACACTCAAACACAGGCAAAATAAGTGCCATCTCAGGGGCTGTTTACACTGAAATACATTCTACATCTCAAACAGACTAAATGTTACCAAGCTAGAATAACAACATACAGTACAAAATCCACTAAAATTATATTTACTTAGCACACTCTACTACTGGGCTTTCTTGGTGCAAAAAAAGAAAATGAGCTAACAAAGGATATCAGCTATGTAATGGACAACTGCCATTAAGTGTGCTGTTATGGTATGCTGATGTTTTTTTTAACTGTTAAAGTTGTTGTTACTT